AAGTCAAGCCCTAAAACTATTCAAATAAGCACAATAAGACTCGCTTACAAGTCATAAACCAATTTCAGATACCACCAAAATAGAGCTCCATAAGCATACATAAGCATTAGAGGAAACCAGAAAAATCCGGAAATGTAGTTAAGCGTTAACCCGAAAAAAATAGTTTTTGACGTCATTTTGCGGTTTTGATACCAATGGCACTACGATTATCGGATGAAGGTGCAAGACCCACTGTTTCGAAGCTAAGAGATAGGGTTACAATATTACAGAAGGTCACTCAGCCCATTTTTTAGTGTAACCAGGTCAAAAATGCAAGATACTACACCAGAACCGGAAAAATAGATTCACAGAACGCATTCTGGTTCAAACATCATAAGTCAGCCTACCTAAGTCCAAATCCAGTAATTCTAAAGCCATCCAAAAGCTAAGAAATAGGGCTACAATACATCAGAAGACCTCAACAACCAATTCCAAAGCATTCCCAACCAAAATAACCCATTACAGAAGCAATTCCCAAATTCGGGTAAAACCAGGGCAGCAAGGGTAATTTCATCTTTTCTCAAGCTATGCTACTCCGATTGACCTGAAATTTTGCAGGCACTTCTAAAATATCATTCCCTACAACTTTCATGTTTTAACCCAAGGCCAATTCGGCCTCTAACTATGAGCTACAAAACCGGGCAGAATGTAATTCAAAGAAACCCTACTTTCCAATTTTCTTTCTAAAACAGAAATTGCTTGTAATTAACCACTTTTTTCCACCTTCTAACTTCCTTAAATACCATTTCCAATCATCATATATAATCACATAATCATATCCATGTGAAAATAGAAAAAGCCCTAATAATTATAAAACTTCACCAATTCAACCAAAAATCAAGATATAAACCATAAAATTGCATCTTATACTACCACTAATCATGGATTAAACATCATTAGAGGGAGGAGAGCGGTCCTTTTCAACTTACCTTAGCAAAACAAGGGAGGGAGCAACTAATCCTCTTAGCTTTCCAAATAACTCCACTAAACTCCACACAAACACTCCCTTAAGTGTTTCTATGGAGCAAAAACAAGATTCAATGGTTGATTTGGTAGATTGGAGCAAAACTTGGAGAGTTTTCTTTCTTTTGCTTAGAGAGAGATAGAGAGAAAGAGAGAGAGAGAGCCGGCCACAATAGCTAAGAATGAAGAGAATTTTTGGTAATTTTTGTGATTTATTTGGTCAAATAGAAAAAGGTGAATAGTGGTCTTACTTAAGAATAAATCCTATGGTGACACTTGTCACCCTTTAATGCATCTCTATCTCATTGTTCCCTCTCACACCAATCCAAATAGCAATCTCTAATTATCTCTTAACACTCGGTCAATTAATTCCAGTATCCAAAACTTAACCTAATTGGCCGAATTTTTTCGAACTTTTCGCACTAGCGGGTCCCACATCCGATATACGCTCTTAATTTCTCAAAAACTAACCGATACTAGAAAAATCATTTAAAAACTATATTTACTCATAAAATTTATTTGCACAATTTTTCGAATAAAGAAAAGGTGGAAAAACGTGTAATTAAAAGAAATTAAAACCTAGAAATTAAGAAAATTACGAGTCCTCACAGAAACACTCGTGTTCATTATTTCTCACCTAAACAATCCTCCGAAAATTGAAGTTGTTAACGGGACGTTTTAAAAGTATAATGAAGACATTATTCCGTACGAATGGATTTAAAATGGTCGTAATAAATTATTTGGGAAAAACAGGTGGATAAATACTTAATTAAACCATTAATATTCGATAAAAATAAGAAATTTTTCGGGTCCTCACACATGCTCCATACTAGCCTTCTCTAATTGTTGTTTCTATTTTTTCTTCAAAATTGCAAGTCTTGTCCCCATGCTCTATCACTCCACATCTGTAACAAAAATTCGAGCATTTTTCATACTTGAATTCTGCCCAAACTTTAACTCCATTATGTTTCACAGGTATTCCTTTGATGAGCAGTTGCGATATATTCACTTTTGCCAATATTTTCATGTGTTTTCCTTCCTTTCCACCCCTTGGTGGTATAATGACCTCTTTAACTGAGTGAAAGACTTTTGCAATTTTGAAACCTACTGCACGACACAGCCAGTGGATTGGAAGATGCCACACTTGTATCCATAGCAGTGAGAAGTTGAACATCTCTGGGTCTTTTTCAATTCCTTCACTCCATGGCTTTAGTACTAGTAGATGGTTATCCATAACCCATGGTCTACCTCTCAATGCTTTATCCCTATCCCGTTCTTCCTCAAAATTGAACTAGAAAATATTTGGTCCTAGCTCAGTTACCTTCATGTTTCTAGGGTATCCCCATACATTGTTGCTAAAATTCTTCACCCCTGTGTAGTTTGCTACTTTTTCTCCAATGATCCTTCCAACTAAACTGAGTCTACATTCCTCTCTGCTAGCTGCCACATCTCCCTAGTTCAAATCAACCCATTCTGTCTCTTTTGCCCTTAAGTCAAACTTTTGGAAAGCTCTTGTCAGGGATTTTGCAATGGAGGTTTACTAATGTGTTCCCTGCACTATCAACCAAACTCAGATGAATGCAAATCTATGTTTAGCTTGCGGAAGAGTCAGAGAAAAAGCCCCAAGTTCAAGCATCTCGACAACACTTGAATAGATGAACAGAAATAATATCTGAAGTGTTAAAAAGTTAGGCACTGATTTTGACTAAAAAACAGAGGGAAGACATTGAAACATGCTACGACAGAGTTAAGAAGGCTACCAAAAACCATGAAATTTAAGAAAGAAAGAAATATCAGTAAATATGAGAGATAAGACAAGAAAAATCTTATGTCTTGGCAGTACACTTGCATGCTCTCTTTCTCCTCCCCTCTATGTCTGCATTAAAGATGAGAGGCGAAAGTTCTCCAACACAAATTAACTCCAGCAATAAAGTTGCTAGGTGCTAAGTCTTAACTAATGAAAATAGGAATACTTTTCCAAAGGAATCTCTCCTTTGATTGCTATGATTTTGAGAAGGAGTCAAAATTTGGATCTTGAATCTTGAATTTTGAAAATATTTTGAAAGGTTTTTGAAAAGTTTTGGCTCCTACACTGAGGAGCAAAGAACTCTCATGTGGAGAGAGAAAAATCTCCTACTATTTGGATCCCTTGTTTTTGGGGCTGTTTTTGAAAAACTGTTTTTCACATTCTAAATGCTACAGTAAATGTGTATTTCCAAAACAACTCCAAAAACATCATATCCAAATATTATATCAAAAACAACTACCTATGTATATTTCAATTTGTATATTTCAATTATGTATATTATATATATAAATATAAATATAAATATATTATATTATATTAATATAAATTGAAAATTATATATATTATATATTATATAAATATTTATATAAATTAATATTATACATGATATTGTATATTACATAATATACATAATATAATATAATATTACATAATATGTAATATTGTATACATAAATGTGTAAATATTTATACATAATATATTATGTACATTATATTATAATATATACATTATTAATGTATAATATTATTATGTACATTATTGTGTATAATAATGTATAATAATGTTATGTATAATATATAATATACATAATATGTAATAATGTATATTATGTATAATATTTTATATTATGTATATTATATTATATATATATATATATACAATATTATGTATATTATACAAATTAAAAATTATATATTATATATTATATGAATATTTATATAATGAAATATACAATAAATATTACAAATTGAAATATTATATGAACACCATATTTATAATATTATAATATTTATAATTAATATTAATGTATATTATATATTTTAAATATTTATATATTTATTTATACATATATTTATAATATTATAATATTTATAATTAATATTAATGTATATTATATATTTTAAATATTTATATATTTATTTATACATATTATAAATATTTTTATATATTTCTATGAATATTATATATTATATAAATTATATATAATATAACATATATTATATATTATATATATTATACATTTATATAAATGTACATTTATACATAATATATATATTAATCTATATTTATAATATACATTTATATTATGTATTATATATAATATAATGTACATTTATATTATTTATTAATTATATTAATACATTTATACTTAATACTAATATATATTAATAAAATTATAATTTATACATTTATATAATATTCATTTGTAATTTATACATTTATAATAATATAGAGTTATACGTTTATAAATATATTTATATTATGTATTATATATAATATAATACATTTATATATTTTTATATAAATATATAAATGTATTATTTATAAATATATAAATATATTTATTTATAAATATTTAGAAATGTATTATAAATGCATAAATGTATATTTATATAAAAATATAAAAATTATAAATTATAAATTATACATTTATATAATATTCATTTATAATTTATACATTTACAATAATATACACTTATACATTTATAAATATATTTATATTATGTATTATATATAATATAATAAATTTATAATACATTTATATATTTTTATAATAATATATAAATATATTTATTTATAAATATTTATAAATGTATATAAAAATTATAAATTATAAAAGTACCCAAAAATATGTTTTAAAAATACCTCTAAAAACAATCCAAAAAACATTTACAGTAAAAGTTTTTCATATATTTTTTGAAAAACAACTAATCCAAACGGACTTGTATTTTAAAAACAAAATGCTACAGTACTGTTTTTGAAAAACAACTCCAAAAACAGCTAATTCAAACGGAGTCGTTGTCCCTATAATCTGTTAATCTATTTTATCTTAAAAGTGTGCCAGACCAAAAAACCATATTCGTCAAAATATGAGGGACTAAACATGTAATTTTCGTTATGGAAACAGCCCGCACAATTTCCCGGCTGCTTGGGGTCATAAAGCGGTAAAATACGAACACCTTCTAGTGACCCGCCACAAAGAAGTCACTTTTTATTTTGTTGTTTGTTTGTTTTCCTATGAAACCCTTTTGGAACCAAGAGGAGTCCTGCTGAAGGTGAAAAAAAGATGAAGCTAAAAGCCAATTTCTCCTTTGATGGTAATGATGAAGATCATGATGATGAAAATAAGGAGAAAAAGAGGAAGAAAAGTAGGAAGAAGAGTTCTTTTGATGGTGGGTTTGGGGTTAATTTAAAGGAAAATCTGGGTAGTGGATGTTTAGGTGTTAATTTTGGGGAAAACAAGAAAAAGAGTAGCAAAAAATGTAGGGATGATGATGTGGAAAAGAGGGTGGAAGGTGAGAATAATTTAGGTGTGGAAGTGGGTAATATTATTGGTAGTAATTTGGAGGAAAATGGATGGGTATCATCGGTTGATGATGGGGTTGGAGATGGAGAGGGAAAGGAGAAGAAACAGGAGGATTCGAGAAGTTTTTCGAGGCCAATTGGGCTTTTCTGTGATGAGAAGACCGTGGAAGAAAAGGGGAACTGCAGCAGTGTTGGCGAGAAAATGGAGTCCGGTATCAGAAGTCAGGATAATGTTCCGGGTGATTCGGTGGTTTCGATGAACACTGCACTAGATAAGTTTGTTTATAAGGGCAGTAAAGTTGAAAGCAGTGCTTCCTGTTGGCAAATTCGTCGGCCTTGTGCTGAAAAAATCATGAAACGGAGGGATGAGAGATTGGAGAGGGAACAGGGTCATTTGAAGAATGGGACAGAAATGGTTGGGATTGCATCAGGGAAGAGAAAAAGCGGTGAAAAAGTTGGTCGAAAGAAAGCGAACAAAGAAATTCGAGTTGTGTCTCCTTACTTTGTCAAGTCTGTGGATAAGGAAGTAGTGTTGTTGGGGAAGGAGAAGAATTTGGAAAATGAATCTGGAAATAACGGTGGGATTGCATCAAGGAAAAGAAAAAGTTGCGAAGAGGGTGGTTGGAAGAAAGCAAAAAAGGAAGTTCGAGTTGTTTCTCCTTACTTTCTCAAGTCTGCAGATAGGGAAGCAGTAGCACAGGGGGAGGAGAAGAATTTGGTAAATGGAAATGGTGAGATTTTAGGTGTTAATTTTGGGGAAAAGAAAAAAGAGAGGAGAAAAACATGCAGGGCTAATGCTGTAGAAAAGAGGGTGGAAGGTGAGCATAATTTAGGTGTGAAAGTAGGCAATATTATTGGTAGTACTTTGGAGAAAAATGGTTGGGATTCATTGGTTGATGGTAGGGTTGGAGATGGAGAGGGGAAGGAGATGAAACAGGAGTATTTGAGTAGTTGTTTGAGGCCAATTGGGTTTTTTTGTGATGAGAAGAGACTGGAAGAAAAGAGGAATTGCAGCAGTATTGCCGAGACAATGGAGTCTGGTATCAGAAGTGAGGTTACTGTTCCAGGTAAGTCGATGAACAAAGCACTAGATAATTTATTTTCGCAGTTTGCTTATAAGGGCAGTAAAGTTGAAAGAAATGCTTCACGTGGGCAAATTCGCCAGCCTTGTTTTGAGAAGATCATGAAACAAGGGGATGAGAGTTTGAAGAATGAGAAAGAAATTGTTGGGATTGCATCACAGAAGAGAAAAACTAATGAAAAGGGTGGCCAAAAGGAAGGGAGCAAAGAAATTCGAGTTGTTTCTCCTTACTTTGTCAAGTATGTGGATAAGTCTATGGGTGAGGAAGTAGTGGCACAGGGGGAGGAGAAGAATTTGGAAAATGGATCGGGAAATAATGGTGGGATTGGACCAAAGAAAAGAAAAAGTTGCCAAGAGGTTGGTCGGAAGAAAGCAAAAAAAGAAGTAGTGGCACGGCTGGGGGAGAAGAATTTGGTAAATGGAAATGGGGAGATTGCATCTGGGGTGGGAAAACGTGGTGTAAAGGGTCAAAAGAAAGCAAGGAAAGAAATTCGAGTTGTTTCTCCTTACTTTTTTAAGTCTACAGATAATGGAGAGGTGGCAAAGGGGGAAGATGCAGTAGAGGTCATAGTCCTGCCAAAACGAAGTAAACGTGATAAAAAGCGTGCTTTTTCTCATGCCCAGAAACGAGATGAGGCTTACCAACGAAAGACTTTGGAAAACTCATGGAAGCCACCACGATCCCCTTTCAATCTACTCCAGGAAAATCATGCTCATGATCCTTGGAGGGTATTGGTTATTTGTATACTTCTCAATTGCACAACAGGTTTACAGGTTATTAACTGACTCCTGTTTCTTGCTTCGACTTGAGTCCAGACATGTCTGTTAGAATTGAATCTTTTCTAATTGGTTTACCCACTTCATTAAGCAGAATTGTTTAGTTTCGTCTTGTGGTCATTTGACACTTCCTCTGCATGAGATAAGGAGAAATATGCATATTCTGGAACATGCTTTTTCTTAATTCTGGTGAACTCTATTAATCTGTATCGTTTCTTTGACCAGGTCTGTGTGGACATAGAATAAAACTATCCACATACTTCAAGTTGCTCCAGGGAAACTATACATTCTGCATAATAGTTAGATTTTGCTGACAATTGTCACCAAACTAGTCAACAAATTTCTTTTGCTTAACAGAATTTCATGCCTGCTGCCATGCGTATCTCTACTTTTCCTTGATTTGGCTGATTCCAACAATTCAGATCAATACTGTTCATATCATTGAAATTGAGTGAATCATCAAGACATATTAGCATTTAATTAAGACCATTTAGGGGTTGCAGATCATCATGCATCCTTTATGTTTCTAAAACACAATAGCTAATAGGGACTGTCCCAGAAAAGTTGTTTTTTTTTTCTTTCCTTTTGGACAAAATACAAAGAGATTGAAACTTGCAGGGAGAATCCACTGTACAATTTGCAATGTATGAGCTTTTATTGAGTTGGGAGGATGTGTAACTTAATGCGATTAATGGAACAAAGTTTCTGAAGTTACAACTATTCCTCAAGGACAGAAGCAGATGCCACTAAGGAAAGGTATTTGAGTTGTATCTGGCTCTTGAGCAGCAATACATCATTGGGAAACTAAAACCTATTTGTTTAATTGGAGAGAAGCTCCTTAAAGTACCCTTTCTACTGAAGGAAGCATGCTAATGCCAAGAAGAGATGATACTCATGTCATATCTGCTTCTTTCCTGTTCTAACTTTTTTGAGGTAGGGAATAGGCCTTCATTTGGTTTATATTTTTAGCAATTGAATTTCCAGTTCCTTAAAATGGGCTGAAGAAGGGAGGATCATTCTCTGACAGAACCCACCGAAATTCATTTTCCACTTTCCAAACTGTTAAATGATAAACCATCGTTTTTCTTTGTGTCCCCTAAAATTCTATTGGAGGAATGTAGTTTAAATTTTTGCCAAGATTTCAGAAGGAAAAGGGAGTGCGATTTTTTTCCTGATAACATATTCTGTTTTGCAGTAGTCGATGTGTTTTATTCCTAGTCTATAATTTATGCTTAATACACTGTTGTTTCAGAATTAAGAGCTAGTATTCCAAGTGCTAGTGCACTTTGTATGAATGATGTGGAGAGAATTTGTTGTTGAAATGGTCGCATGCCACATATGTCTAATATTTGGTAAAATTCCATGCAGGTTAGAAGAGTCATAGATGAGCTTTTCACCCTGTGTCCAACTGCTCAAAGTGCAAGCCATATTTCTGCGGAGGACATAGAAAAGATTATACAACCTTTAGGCTTGCATAGGAAGAGGGCAGTGATGATTAAGCGTTTCTCTGTGGAATATCTTGGAGAAAGTTGGACTCATGTGACACAACTGCATGGTATAGGAAAGTAAGTTTGCAAACCCTCTTACATTGGTAATGTAAATTTGCCTTTTTAATCCAATTGGAAGCAATTCAACTGCTCATGAAGATGTATTGGAGCCTTTCTCCATGTATCTGAGTTTGATATTTAGTGCAAGCATAAAGCTCGGCATATAATTTCTGATTTTGTAATTGACATCCTAGAAGGCGAAAGGGAAAATTTGGCATGTTATTGTAGAGTTTTCTAAGCCCTTTCAATGCCTTTTTTCTCATGGATTGTGTTACAGCGTGCTGTAACAATTATAATCTAGATATTCAAGGCTTCAAAGTAATTTCCTCAACCTTTTATTTCTGTAAGTTCATTGATTGCTTTTTAACTTTTCAAACAAATTTGAAATCTCAATTACGAACTTGTTTCTTTCATGGCCTTCTCTGTCTCTCTCTCTAATAACAGAGGAAAATAGTTTTATTTACATTAGCATGTCCTCTTCTTATTTTTGTGATAGTTCACCACAGTTAATGGCACATTGCTTTTGGAGCAATCCAGAGCCAAATTTTGGCAGGTGGGTAATTCAACTGTGGCATTACCTTACATTGATGCTGGTAAATGTATATCCAAAGGGGGTCAATTGTGACAAGATATAATGGTGACGGTTATGGATAGATACTGGAAGTTTTTGCAAATAGTGTACTACCTGAATACCTTCAGGAAGCAAATGATTGTAATTTGGAACGCTAACAAGTAGACATGAATGCTAATGTTTAGATCCTTTAGTCCTTTATTTTTTCTTGTAAAAAATTAACTTAAATGTTTAATAGCTGGAGCTCTATAACTTTTTAGCCGCTCATACTCTCCCAACTAAAAATGTAGATGCAAAAGTTTATATTTATTTTTTCAAAATGGAGATTCAAAGGATAAAGAAATGGACATTATGTGTTCCTACTTCTGCTTCTCTCCATCTTCTTTTCTGCTGTGTCCTCTTTCAATTTGCTCTTGTACAACTTCTTCTGCTGCCTCCTGCTTCTTCTGGGGTCAATGCTTTCTTCATTTGCTACAGCTAAAAAAGAGGGTGTTATCCTTGATACTGATTGATGTCTCTGACGTGACCGGCCTTTCTCATTATTATAATGGATCTTCCAGAAAAGGAACCTCTATAGGTATAAGCACAATCAAGCATAACTTTTCCTTATTGTTGAAAGGGAGGATGGTAATCATGCATGTGGAGAACGGTAGTGTGAGGAAAAACATGAACCTGGGATTTGACATTCTTTTATGAGACTGATTTTACTAAATAGTAAACATGCTTCTAGTTTTTTGCCTTTTTACTTGTTTTCATTGTAACATGTCGGATTACTCCTCCAAAAATATTTGCACCTGCCTCCCCATGTCTGAATATATTTGAATATTTGATTTTGTTTTTTCTGTTGCTCAATCTCCCAGCTCCCTGCATTCCCACATTTTGACTCCCTATGATGCGTCTCCATATCCCAGTTGTCAATTCCCATTCCTGTCACTCCACTCTACTAAGCTACATCTTCCACCAAGCCAAACCCCGATCACCACTCTACTACCCCCTTGCACCTGCCTCCACCCTTTTATTACAAGTCGCTGCATCTCACTAGCAAATCTAATGCCTCCTTTTTAGAATCCCCACATGCATAGAGGAGAGAAAAAAATCCAACTCCTCCCTGGCCAGAAATTATTGCCCACTGTCATGTCAACCTTACCTGTTTTCCATAGTCCTTGATTGGCATATTCTTTGTGCTATGCTGCAGTATAATGTAGAATAGGTGTTATTGTCTGATTGGGAATCATGGAATCGTGATGCTTCTTACTGATACCAGTGATTAATTTCAAAATTTGAATTTTACAATCTTCAGAGATGATATTGTATAAATGGATTAGAATACTATGAAAACTAGAAAGGAATTAAAAAAGCAAGAAAAATTGAGACGAATAGTATATTTTAGCATCTCTAAATCATTGGTTTTAAGGAGCTTCTAGAATGTTTGGCTCATTTTAGTACAGATTAGAAGCTGTTGATATATTCTTGAATAACCAGATCTTTTGAAGTTTCTTGTCTTTTTCATGGTGATCGTGGTGGTGCTTCATTCCACCTTGTATACTCTGTAAATTTAGGCTTTCTTTTTGTTTAGGCTGCTATCTGGTTCTATTTATTCTACTACCTAGTTTATCGGGTAAATAGTTTACAGAAAAGGGATAATTTCACAAACCTCCTCTAAGGTTTATGACAATTTCACACAGCTCCCCTCGGGTTTTACAAATTACACTGACCTCTCTTGTCACAATAAAAGGACAATAATGACCTTCACTTAATAGATAATTCATAATACAATGAAATGAGATTAAGAAAAGGAAAAAGAAAAAGAAACTCTACCTCTTCGGCTATCTTGTTTACAAGTTACAGCCGATGATGATTTTCTCTCGTACTGTCACTACGTTCTCGTCCATCAACCCCTTCCTTCTATAACTCGCTCTCAAATTCCCACCAACCATTGCCAATCAGATCACAAATGATCCCTCCAAGCTCTACCATATATTCGTATTTCTCATGTCTTCCCTTTGGAATTGCCAAATCACAAGTTTAGTTGAGCGATCAGATTTGGTGATTAAAGTAAAACCTGATTTCATGGTCAAACTAAAAGGAGATGAAGAGGCTCAAGAGGGACAGAATTTGGTAAATTTGCTAATTTGTCTATCATCCATCCAGAAAACTTTTTTAAGATGTTAATAACTGCATTTGGATTTCTTTTTATGCATGGCAATTGTTGGTTGTGGTTTCACTTCGGAAGTAGAGCTTCTTCTCCATATTTAAGATGTTAACATGCTTGGAGATTTGGTGGTATTCTAGATTATTTTGTTTTGAGATGGTGTGGCCATTGGATTTGAAATTTGGGGTGTGATTAGTCGTGAATAGAATTTTGGTTTTCGACAAAATGAATTTCTTTAATATGTCTATAGTCATAATGATGCCTTTCCTTCTCTTAAACTTGATTAATCCCATGAATGCCTAAATCTCCCCTGAGGATTTTCTTCGAGGCCATAATGTGGCTCATGTAGTAGGAGTAGAGCCACTTGTATGGAATCAAAACATGGCATCCTATGTTGAAGATTATGCAAACATAAGAGCAGTTGATTGTAAGCTTGGCAGTTCCATGGAACCATATGGTGAGAATATATCTGAAGGATGGAACAAACCTTCAAGGTTGGACGCATGCTTTGGGAGGAGCAATTTTATGACTATGATGATGAAGGTTTAGAATTTGGCATTAGAGTGTTTGCTAGGCTGGTTTGTTAGTATAGTGGCTTTGGCGGAAACATGGAAGAAGGCAATTGTCAAAATATTTTTTGTTTTTGTACAGAAAGGGTAGTTTTGGATTTTTGAGAAAAAATATAGCCTTTTGGGTTTATATTATTATATGAACAGTAAAAGTAAGGGAGGCAGATGTAATTTAATAAACTTGAGGGGAGATCTCTGCAATTGTCAAAAACCTCAGGGGAGGTTTCTAAAATTATCCCTAAAAGAAAACTGTATACCCCAGAAAAGAACTTGAAAATCTAACTAATCGATTATATCAACTTGCAAATTTGCACTGCACTGTTTTTAGTTGTTAAATTAATATTGATGATGAAACGCACAAACTCCTCCTTGAAAATTAACATGGCAGAATTCTTGACAAGCAATAGAAGCTAGTACTTGAAACAAAATTTGCGCTTTATCTTTTTTAGTCATTAAATTAATATTGATGATAAAACACAGAAACTCCTCCTCGAAAATTAAATTAGCAGAATTCCTGGCAAGCAATGGAAGCTATTACTTGAAACATGTAAAAAGAACCTATTGGGAAAGATGAAAACAACTTAATCCTTGCATCTAGAAATTTTGTGTTGGCACTCTCAAAGTATGTCATAGTAAACTCCTTTGATGGTGTTTCTTGTTTCCTTCTAGAGTGGCACGACATTTGAACAGCACTACTATGAAACATCTAGTGGCTTAACATATTTGATTTCTGGAATTATTAAGGGTTTAATTGATTCTAAAGAGTATAGCCAAATTCAATTACAAGCAACCAGACTCGGCAAGCTGTGCTAGAAATCTCCAGACTTAGACTATAACTAATTTTTGATATTTATAGGCAATATGTTACTGAACCATTGTTGACCCATTTCTTCACCAGCATGCACTGCAAATGCAGAATGTGAACTTTGACCAATTCCCCTTTCTTGCCACCTCTATTGGAAGATTTTGCAATACTTCTATTTCAAAAGCTTTCCTGGAAGTGCTGCTGGAGTCTGATTCATTCTGTATTTTTTTATTAGTCTACGAGTTCAATTTCTTCCTTCTTGTAGTCTTTTCTTTCCTTTGAAGTTGTTTATGAAATCTGGCCATTCTTTGTACCACTGGCTGGTGATCATGATTCTTACTCCCAAGTCTTGTGCATTTAATAGTTGGAAATTTACTTTTAAGGACCATTTATAAGTCATCCTACTTGGTCAGAGGAGAACCAATTTTATTCTGGTCTTTCTGCAAATACTTGTGGTACTGTATCCCCTTAAAACATGGACCAGTTGTAAAAGCTTTTCTATCTTACTCTATTAATATACAATATCTACCCTGTACGTGGATTAGTCCATGGGTCAGATCCATTTTGTCATGGGTGGTGTTGTGGCTCTTTCTTGCACGACCTTCCCTACCCTTGTCAAAATAGAAATTGTTTTAGCAATTACAGAACATTTGAAACAGTTTAACATTTTTGGTCCTGATAATTTCTCTGCATAATCCTTTGTGTCTAACTAGATTATACACCTAAGAAGGCTCCCTGTGCAGTTTTTGGATTACCCTGAACCAGAATTGAAACCATGTCTCACAAGTTTTTTGCTTTCTGATTGTAGTGAATATATCGTCTAAACAAAGTTGATTTCCTGCAAAACAACTTTTCTGCATTTTAGGCAATGTGGTACATACTGTTGCTTAATGAGGTCAGGCCTTTAAAATGAAGAGTTGTCAAGCTCAATGCCTCTCTTCCCTCTTCTTGTCCTTTCATTAGGCTTCATCTGCCTGCTGCTTCTTGCTTCTTTTAGTATGCATATGATGTGTTTTTATGAGACTGATTTTACTAAATAGTAAATAATTTTCAAATCTTATACCTTTTTCCCTGTTTGCACTTTAAGATGTAACATTACTCCTCCAAACATATTTGCACCCTGTACTCCTCCACCTATATCTGAAGATGTCTGACCATTTGATCTTTCTGTTCTCCCACCTTCCAACTTCCTGCATTCACCCTTTTAGACTCATGTGCCTCCATTGCATTGTTGTCGACCTCCATAATTGCTACTCCATCCTGCTACAACCAAGCTTTATCCATTACACAAAACCACATCAGAACCATTCAACCTAGATGTTGCTTGCTAAAATGGTTTTATCCTATGCTTGAATTGTACTTTTTTGAATTGCAATTGGTTGGCAGTTAATCGAATGCTGACTCAGCAAGACTAAGTTACATAGCTGTCAATTAGATACAGTTAGTTACTGAGTCAATTATTTGCGGTTAGGCACAGTTGTTGGTTACCGTTGGTTAGAAATGGGAGTTGGATGAATGAATGATGAGGGAGGAAGTCAGGCTGAATTGCTGCCAAATTTTCTCAAGTTCTTTCATTGCAATTTTCTCAGTTCACTATCATTCTTTAATAAGTTATTTTTCTCTAGTTTTTAAATTGTATTCTCCATTTCAACTTACAATTCCTGAGCTAAAAGGGTTTGAGACTTCCACTGCCTTCTGCATGACTTCTACCCTGTCAGTACAAGCTCGCCAACAAATCCAACTGTCATTTTCTAGCAACCAAAAAGGGGGGAAAATTCAACTTTTCCTTTGGGTAGGAACTATTGTTCAGTACCATCTCAGGCTCTTCCCCTTTCTTCGTCCCTTGATTGGCACAATCTTCTGTGTTTAAGATGCAGTTTAACGTAGAATAGGTGATAGTGTCTGATTTGAAAGGATGGAGCTATGATGCTCTAGTGGCTGAATTGAGAATGTGAATGGATTAGCTTAGGGATGCTACTGCAGAAATGCATTAGATAGAAGGAAGAAGAAAAATTGGAAAACTGTATGTTGACAATTTAATTAGATAATAGAGGACATAAAGCATTTTTAAAATGTCTAAATCATTTGCACCTAAGAGTTTCTAGTCTATTCGGCTCATTTAGCACAGAATACAGGTTTAAGGGTAGAATCTTGGAGTCCATAGTATTGGGAACTTACACCTAGTTTGAATTGGTATCCTGTATTTTTGCCCGAATAAAATGGAAACACTCGCCAGAACAACTTTCTGATATACTCTGTGTGAGTGCAGAGGGAAGCATGGTAGAAGTATCCACATTAAGTTTTGAATTGCATTATTTTAGTGGAAACTATTTTCATTTTTGTGGACAGTCATAAGAGCCAATACTTAATTTTCCTTAAGTCATTTGACATCTTCCTGGCAAAGTTAGAAGGGAAGAGAGAGAGAGAGAGCCGGGGGGGGGGGGTGAGGGAGGCTGGATGCAGGAAGTGTATGAAGACACAAATCTACAGTCATCTCACTTTGTTCTTGATCTTTTGGTGTCTGTCCGTTAGAAATTGCTTGAAGCTGTTGATAACTTTTTGACTAACCTGATTCATTGAAGGTTCTTGCCTTTTTGGTGAACGTGCTTCATTCCACTTATCTTGCTCCATAGATTTTATGGTTTCTCAATAGATTTTACGGTTTCTCATTTTTTAGATTGATATGTGGTTCTATCAATTTGCGTAATTGGTTGCCAATTATGTACTTACGTTAAAGTAAATTTTTCATGGAGGTGTTATATGCTAGAATAGAAATTAAAAGATGTTTTAGACTATTGAATCATGTTAGTGGAACAAAATGCTGTTACCAAGGGTATGTGGATGTGTAGTGATTGTAGATTTTGATTGTTCTGAAATAATGAAATGCGTAAACATGATTATTCGCCTTAAATATTTTTTTATCTGAACAGCATAATTTGCATTTGAAAGCATCTTGCATACATTTGATTGTCCTGTTTCTCTCCCTCTCTAATCTTTTTTTTTTTTTTGTGCTTTCTATGATGTTAACATTGTTAAACAAGCAAAAGTACCTTTTGTCTCCTGAAATTAATCTTCCTTACTGACAAGCACCATGTTGTTACCAATTACTTTTTTTTTGTCACCCATTTTTGTCAAACCTTTCAGCTGAAATTTTACTTTTCTTAAAAAAAAAAATTAAGGAAAAAGGGGTAGCCCAGTTTTGGTGTCAACAGAGTTGGTAGTTCCCCACTCCCAAAATCCTGCACAAAATACAAACAGAGATAGAGTTGCAAACCTTATATGATGACTCTCTTTTATCCAGGCTTCAGACAATTTGTTTGGATCAAAATTAAAGGTATGATATTTCTGGATGGTAGGTCACATAAAAGATAATGAAACAAGCAGTGTTTTTCTGAAGCAGGCAAATTAATGTGTTGCAGTCAATTAACTATGACAGTTGGAACCCCTTTTGATTTCTTATGTAGTTTTCCCTTCGAAGTTCGACTAGACAATAAAGCTAAGGGACTTCTATTTGTGGTAACTGCTGACTTCATTCAATTCTTGAATAACTATGAATGAATTGAAAAGCTTGAAATTTTTTGTCTTGATTCATGAAACCTTGATAAAATGAATACTCAATCGTATAAGAGAAGGATATGCAATTGAATTCAGAGGTGCATTCTTGTTATTGGTGTTTTTGTATTTGAGAAGTGCTGATTTTCGAGTCAATGGTTAGACAGCAAGAAGTTGCGAGCAGAGACCAGGATAAGGGGTCCTGGTGTTTGATTTATATTCCCAGTTGGTGGAAATAGTTTTCATATCCTAGCCTTTCCTTGCGAGTGCCTATGGTAACATGTTCTTGTTTTTGCTGGTAGAATTGCTTAATGAGGGTATGGTAAATGTTTGTATTTTTAGTAATTCTTGTCTTGATAACCTTTCAATCAAAAGTCAAAGTGGCTGGCAGATTTTTAATTATATGACATGGTCAAAATTGAAACGTATTCCACTACACTTTGCCAGTGTCACATGTGCAGACATACCTTATGGTACAAGTTATTTTTCTCACTCTCACGATTTTGGCTGTACCATAGCTGTAGAAAACCCAAAATGTACACAAACCCTGTAGATCATTGACTTGTATAGAAGAGTTTCTCAAATTTGGCGTCAATTAAACTGATATTCTTTTTTTGGCCAGGTATGCAGCTGATGCATATGCCATATTCTGCACAGGAAAGTGGGATCGCATCACACCATCAGACCACAAGCTAAATGAGTACTGGGATTTCCTTCGGGCAGGTTGTGCGACATAAAACTTAAGCAAAAAGATGTCGCATTTTTGTGCATTCTAACTTAAAAAGATAGGAATCTCGCCGTATCGTTTTGGTTTCCTCATTTCTCTCTTTCTGCCAGGTTGATCTTGATAGTGAAGCATAGCAGTTTAGGCTTCCAAAGTATGGTCTCATTCCATCTTGTATATGAAAACGTTGGTTTTGGTTTTGGATAATCCAGTTTCTAAGTAATGATGTGTTCCCCTTTCTCTAGATTAGCTAGACTTGTATACACATGGTATGGATGTCTGGCCTTGGGGCACCAGAGTATTCCTAATGGTTAGGGTCACTGGTTGACCATATGATGATTTGCAGGAAAATTCTTGCATAGAACTGGTCTGTGTTACTCAAAGGTCCAAGTGCTACCACGTTAAGCTTCCGAATAGGAGTTTTAGAAAAGGTGAAAGCAAGCGTGATCTATAAAAGTGGACACAGGTCTATGCCAGAAATGCTGCTTCTAGTATTATCATTAACCCTTGATGATTTTTGGGGCCTGATTGATCAGTATCAAGACTTTTGCTTCCATTATGGGCTCCTTATTTGTTTTGATTCCTGAGTTTGCTTTATTGAACCATGCGGCCATGAGTGTTATGTCTTCTCAAAAAGCACGCTTGCATACCGTCCTAGTATTCAGCATCTGAAAGCTTGTGGTGTAAAGAATATAGCTTCATGAGGAAAATCCCAGCAAGTAGCATGACTGATATCTGGAAATGGCAAATGAACTCTAGGGACAAATTCCTAACGGTAAAGAGATGGAGATAAATTGCTGATTCTTGTAGCATCTCTCTGCTAAAAACGCTGCGATTTTGCTTTTTCCTTTGTGTTTTACCAATAGGTCTCCCTGGCAATTCTGCTTCAAGCAATATTTTAACCTTTCCTTGGAAATTCGGGGTGAGAGTTTCAGTGCACAGACTATTTCATACAGTTATGGACAAATAAGCAACAAAATCCTATCTAACATGGCAAAAAAAAAAAAGAAAAGAATGTGAAATGGGTAAAAAAAAATAAAGCTAGAATAGAAGGAGTTTATTCTATAATTATCCACAGTAAAAACGTGGTCTAAGATACATACCGCTAAAATGATGCATCTGAACAGCAATTTCGGATATTAAAGTAGCTCAGAGGATCAACTCATAAACAAAAACAGTAGCGACTAGAACTTGGATAGAAATACTAGTAGTATTCCAGTCGAACAAAAAGACAGTTACAATCTAAGCACAAAAGAAGAGAACACAGTCACTGAACAATAGAAGAAGATAGGTTAGAGACAAAATACCAAAGAAGAAGGTCATTCTCAGTTATAATATAAGCACAAAAGAAGAGAATACAGCTACTGAACCATAGAAGAAGATACGTTAGAGACAAAATACCAAAGAAGAAGGCCATTCTCGTCCCTTCCTCCTATGTTACATATTCTGTCTGTTACATGACACGATTGTGCTGCTTGCAAAAAGGTGAGTCAAGGGGATCCAAGGCAAATACGTTCAAGTGACATGCACAAAACTCCTCTGACCAGTTAGAAATATGATGGCTAACAAAATAGTGGGAAGGCCTTGATATTCAAAATCTGGTGCTATAACCAGTTTTTATGGATGTAAAGATCTAAGAAATCCATTTAACGAACATCTAGTTTCTTCTGATCCACCTAAACATAGAACACTCAACTAGTCAAACATTTTGCAGTTCCTTCTTGTTCTTGTTCTTCTTCTACATTTTGTTGTAGGATTAAAGCAGAGAATCTGAGTTGACCATCAGGGATAAAAAGAAATAAACAGCAAAAGAAAGGAAAAAGTGCAGCAGGAGTTTTATGATTTTAATGTAGATTCAGGCTTTTGTGACAAGAAAAGGGATAAAAGGGACTACCTTTTGAACTTTAAGGCGTCGAATGAACAAGGAGTTGGGATAATCTTGTCCAAATGCAGAATTCAAAGCAACTACGGTGGCCCATAAAAGGTTCAAGAGCTGATGAACCGCAGACTTCTAGCTGAAATTTGAGGGTGCTGGAGATGTTGTTTGGAGGAGTTTCCTAACAAAAATCACACCACTACAAGCATAGATAGCGCAGATTTAGAAAAAACACATATTCGACTGAGATTGAGGCCGGAATTTTCTCAAGAACTAAGCCAGATATCCAACCCTGGCTCAAAAATTCTGCACTTTTCTTTCTTTTTTTTTCCTCTGATTTCTTTCTCTTTTGTTGTTTTTCTTTTCCTCACCGTCTCTAATCCTCTTTTTTGTTCCCCAGACTCTCTCCTCTCCTTCTCTTCTCCTCTCTTTTCCTTTCTTCCTCTCCTCCTTTGCTTTCCCCGAAACCCTATTTTCCTTCTTCTTTGTTCCCTGTAGCATCCCTTTCCCTGTTTCTTTCTTGCTTTTTCCCTTGCCCGCAACTCTTCCTCTTTCGTGGTTTCTTTTTTTCCTTCCTTCCCCGTAGCTCCTCTCTTCTCTCAGCCGAAACCTTCCCTTGTTGCTTTCTTTTTCAGCTTTTTCCATTTTCTTTCTTTTCCTTGTTTTTTCACTGCCCCCGAAGCACTTCCTTTTTCCTTCTTGCTCAGCCGCCCCTCTCTCTATCTTCCTTTCTCTCTCCCTTTCTTTTTTTCTACTCTGCCTTCCTCTCCCTCTCAATCTCCTCTCTTCCTTGGTTTTTCTTTTCCCTCTTGCCCGAAAGCTTTCTTTTCTTGTTTCTTGTTTCCCTTGCTTTCCCTCACTGCCTGAAGCTCTCCTCCTAGCTCCTCTCTTGCTTCTAGATTTTTCCAGTTTCAATCACCTCCCTCCATCTCCCATCCTTCCTTTCTTGGTTTTCCTTTTTCTTCTCCCTCTCACTCGAAAACCCTCTCTTTTTCTTTCCTTGCTTCAGCCGAACCTTTCTAGCTTGTTTCCTTTTTTCTCTTTTGTTTTTCCAAATTTTTCCTATACTTCTACTTGTCCTAGCCACCTAGCTCCTAGGTGTTGTGGTATCAAAAGAATAGAGAAGCTTGTCTAATGCCTACCTCATACACTTGACTAGTTTGCATGACCTCTACCTATCTATTCTGCATGCGTTCCACATATTTTCCCTTTTTAATATTTGTTTTCCAAAACAAATTTAGGATAAATAACAAATGTTACATTTCCCTCTTTTTTTTTTTAAATTTTACCTTGCAAAAAAATTCATTTTATTTTATTTTGAAAAAAAATTGAAAAGATAAAAAAAGATTGGAATTTTTGTAAGAATTTTCTTTTTTCGAAAATTAATGCAAAAATATTTTAAAAAGAAAAATGATGAACCTTAATTTACTAAAATAAATAAAAACAAACACTAACTATTATTTTGCAAACTTAATCAAATAAAATAAAATGAAATAAAAACAAGAATAAAAAATAAAAAATAAAGCTAAAATTGAATAAAAATTAAAATGTTGGTGTCTACAATGTTTTGAGAGAACTCTTAACTTCATTTTTTGAGGAAGCAGAAACATTTAGGCAACTGATTAGAACTTACAATAATCACTTTGGATTCACATCTTTTGGCGTTAAATGTGATAAGAATCTTTCTAAATGAAACAAAGGAGTGTATACATTTAAAGTACAAGGACAAGTGTATCATTTTTCTGAACAACTTGACACCTGCTAGCAATCCAGGGAGTAACATGCAATTGTACTTTCATGATGTTGACAATGAGCTTTCTAACCATAAAGCTGCCTGTCCAAGACTATCAAAAAATGTAATAAAAAAACATGACTGTTCTTGAGAACAATCCATATGCAAAATTTTTTAGGAGCTTAAGCAATGTTCCTAATTTAGCCAGCTGGAAGATAATTCTGCGTACTCTGCCTGGTGTTGACCAGAGAATATACAATAAGCCAACTGAATCGCAGGTGGCTGCCTTATGGGTAGAAGGCGAAGAAAACGGTGAAAACAGTCGGCATAACATTCAAGTATATACTCATGGTGGACAGCCACGAAACATTGAGTATTACTATGCATGTTATGATTCATTACAATACCCATTAATGTTTCCCTTTGGAGAACTTGGATGGCACCAAGGCATTCCAAAGAAAGGAATAAAAACAAAGAAAAAGAAGATAAGACAAATAGGAAACCATCAGATCTGATCTCTCCAGCAAATGCTTTTATAGTTGATCAATTACTTCACAATGAAGAAGCTAGTGAGTACAATCGAAAGTTATAAATATCATACCACATTATAACTTACGTACATAGCTATTCTAAATAATTTATTACTTTTTATATTGCAGTAATGGGTACACTAGAAGGTGATCCAAATTTTGTTTCTCTCATAGAATATTATACTTATAAACTTCAAATCAGAGATTTAGATGAATCTTTTATGTTGCATTTTGGTCGATTATTACAACAATATGTAGTTGATATTTATGTAAAGGTCTAAACACAAAAATTTGACTCTTCAGATCACAACAAGAAGAAATCAAAAAAGAATTTTTGAATGGCATAATTGATGCAGTGGCATCTAGAGAAACTCGAGGATCAAATGCTGGTCAGCGAGTTATTTTGCCACCAAGCTTTATAGGAGGACCAAGAAATATGAGGCGAAAGTATATGGATGCAATGACGTTAGTCCAAAAATTTGGTAAGCCAGATCTTTTTTTGACTATTACTTGCAATCCTAATTGGCCAGAAATAAAAGACTGTCTAATTGCAAAAGATGAAACACAAAACCGACCAGATTTGATTTCTAGAATTTTTCATGCTAAAGTAGAGCAATTGAAAAATGAACTCTTAAAAAAAAATATTTTTGGCCAGATAGCAACCTATACATATGTTATAGAGTATCAAAAAAGAGGATTATCTCATGCACATTTTCTTCTTATCTTAAAATCAGAGCATAAGCTTTATAACCTTGAAGAATATGGCAAAATTGTATGTGCTGAGATACCAGATAAAAAATGGAGTAAGCACCTGTATAGAATGGTTGTCAAGCATATGCTTCATGGTCCTTGTGGAGTAGCAAATCCAGAAAATGTTTGTATGAGAAAAAATGGAACTTGTAAGAACTCTTATCCAAAAGACTTTTGTGAATCAACCAGTCAAACAGAGGATGCATATACAAAATATCAAAGAAGAAATAACGGTGTCAAAGTGCAAGTAAGAAATGCATTTGATGGAGGGCTCAAGGCTGATTGTGTCGCTCACATGGACCCCTTGAAAGTTGCGGATGGACCAATGACTCGATCACGCGCTAAGAAGCTTAAGGAGTCACTACAAGCTTTAGTGTGTAGAGTTCACGAGCAAGTTGGTCAACCAAGCATTGATCAAGAGGAGTATTCCACGTGCACCTTACTCCAAGTGTTGGACCATGGAGATGAAGAGATCTCAAAGGGCCAATGCGATTCACCGGAGGAACCATGAGGGCCGAGGCTGTTTTGCCATTTTCTTTAGTCTTACGCATTGTTTTATTTAGTTGAATAATTGGCAAGGTCATGTGACCAAGTAGTCCGCCAAATTAGTGTTAGTCGTTGTTTAGACATTCCCTAGTCACATTCGGATTTGAGCCTGTCCAAGTCAGCCT